GATTTTCACGATGGGTTGAGGAGGAGGAGGAGCTGGTCCTGGGGATAAAGTTAACAAAGCTATCACGTGAACGACAAGCGTGGAAGGGTCACCTCACCAACGACCACCAGCCCTATAGGTCTGACTGTGCGGTTTGCATCAATGCCCAGGCTAGCGGATATCAACATCGACGCCGACGGCATCCCCATTTGTATACAGTTGCGCTGGATGTTGCTGGACCCTTTGTAACTCGGGGTCGAGACATGGACTATGACGACTACAAGTACATGTTGGTTGCGTCGTATCGTTGCCCGAAAGACTACCTGAGCTCAAAGTCTATACCAGACAGTGACGCCGAGCTCTATGTTCCGGATGATGAAGAAGATGATTTCCCAGAGGACCCCATGAACGTAGAGAATGTGAGGAGGCTCCTGAAAAAGGGGAAGAAGTCGATCTGGAAACAAAAGATGAGCGAGAGGAAAGTGGACCTAAAACCTTGGATGAGGAAGTCGGAGACCTGACGAAGCCCGTGGAAACAAGGACGATCTACCTGGCTAGACCGTTGAGGAGGAGGACAACTTCGGCAGTGCTTTGTGCATCCAAGGAAATTCTCCTTCAGCTACGACAAAGTGGCCTACATGTGGGCGCGGTCCATACAGACAGGGCTCGGGAATTTGGGTCGAAGATCTTCAAGGGATGGGTCACGGAAAGTGAGTGAAGGCACACAAAGTCAGCTGGTCTGGAAACAGTACGGCTGAGTTGGGTGTCAAGTGGATGAAACACAGGGTGAGAGCCCTGTTGAAGGCAGGAAATGCCTCAGCCAAGGATTGGCCTATGGCAATGCATCACGCCACCTCCTCGTTGTGGTCAAAGTGTTTTCCCCACAGCCCGTGGTCTACGTTCCCAGCAGCACCCTTTGGATGTGAAGTTTGGTTTCGAGGCAAGACCTACAAGGGGACGAAAGAAAAGAAACAAGAAGCTGCGAATGTGAGATGGAAAAAGGGCTGGTACCGGGGACCGTCAACGGACGTCACGTGAGTCGAGGCCATTTGATATTCAGGGAGGATGGTGGATTGGTTATTGCGAAAGGGGTGAAGTTCAATGTCCAGGAGACGAACAAAGAGCTACTTGATCTACTACCACCGACTACAGCCGAAGGAGTTGAGTTTCAGGAGGAGGACGCCAAGCCACAATCCAAAAAGGAACTGGCCGAGGAGATTGAGTTCACGTCTCGGTACCTGCTGAGTGAAGAAAACTACAGCTTGGAAGAAGTTATCAAGTTGTATAACAAGCTTGAGGAACTTGGCGACACAGACCTCCGCATCGGGAAGAAGACTGCAGTCACCTCATGGTACACGGGTGCTTTTGTTCATGGCGGTTGTGCTGGACTGCGGAAAAACATTATGAAGTATCCTCACACCACCAAGTATTTGGTTCAGGTTGGAAAGAAGTACGCCAATGGCATGAAGTTCACTGCGCTTGGCTTAGCGAGAAATGCTACGTTGGGGATGCATCGCGACGTTCACAACTACAAGAACTCTGAGAACATGGTGCTACCACTCACTTCGTTTACTGGGGGATCGCTTTGGACTTTGGACCCAGACGTCGATGAGGAGAATGCTGTTTACAAGACCTTATCCAATGGGGACAAGGCAAAGGGGAAGATGATAGAGCTCACCAAGGGCGAAGCAATAACTTTTTCTCCTAGACAATGGCATGAAGTGCAACCATGGGAAGGAGACCGTCTTGTGATGCTGTTGTATACCCCAAGGGCTACAAAGCTATCCCAAGAAGATGTGGAGAAGCTGGAGCATGTTGGTTTCTCCTTGGACCCAGAAGCGTTGAACCTGGAAGGTGATGAAGAACCCGATGAACTTGAAGTAGAAGATCAAGAGGAAGTGAAGATTTCCTCACTGGGTGTCAATGAGGTCTCAGAAGTATGGAAATCGGAGATGAAGACATTTTCTCTGGTGAAGGAGGCCAACGAGGCCCGAGAATAAGAAGGATGGATGTGTCTAAGATTGACAAAGACATCAAGGCTGTGTTGAAGAAGTCTGAGGTCCAGTACACTCCCGATATCGAGAGTATCATCGAGAAATGTGAAAAGGACCACCAGATGCTGGATGTGACACATACAGTCAGCTTACAAGACGTAAAAAGGAACCTTCCAGCATGGAAGGACTCAGCCATGAAAGAGTTCAAGAACCTACGCGACACCAAGGGCGCTTTTGAGGTGAAAAAAAGAGAAGAACTTCCTCGAGGGTGTCGAATCGTTCCTTGCAAAGGTGTATATACAGTGAAGCCCGACAAGGACCATCTCTACAGACGGAAAACAAGGTTTGTAGCATGTGGAAACCACGTACCAGAAGGACAAGAAGGCATGGACTTGTTTGCGGCTGGTCTGGACACTACCACGCTACGAACCATGATCGCCTATACCATCGGCAAGCCATGGGCGTATGGAACAACGGACATCAGACAGGCGTGCGTTTTGGCCCCATGGCTGGGCCAAGCAGTTGCCCTTCAACCACCAGCTATAGCCTACGAGCTGGGACTTGCAGAGCCAGGGGACTATTGGCTAGTCCGCATGTCGATCTACGGGTTGCGAGAGAGTCCTGCACTTTGGTCAAGGTACAGGGATGAACAGCTCACCGCTGCACGATGGACAGCAGTCATTGACGGTCAGGAGGAGCAGCTCAAGTTGGTGCAAATGATTACAGATGATCAGGTGTGGAAGATAGTCCGAACCTCGGGCAATCAAGAACCACTTGGATATATTATAGTTTACGTGGACGATCTTCTGATCAATGCCCTCCCTTCTGCTATGAGTTCATTCTATGTATGGCTGGCCGCCCAATGGGAATGCGACAACCTCAACGTCCTAACTGAGGACCATTCTATCCGGTTCTTGGGAATGGAGATGCACATGGTGAAAGGCGGTGTTGAGCTGGCGCAAGAAGGATTTGTACGGGAACTACTCCGAGCCCATGGACATGATGGATCAAGGGCGAGAACGCAAGGACCGAAGGAGACCATGGTGTTGATATCTGCTGCTCCAGTGGATTTGGAAGGAAAAGAAGATGAAGTTAAAATGGCACAACGACGTGTGGGAGAACTCCTATGGTTGGCTGGACGGACGAGGCCAGACATCCAGTACATAACTCGGTGCCCGGAGATGGTAAACCAAGTGGGAAAGAGGACGCTGGACTACCTGAACGAGACCCTCCACTACCGCGTCAGCTTTGAGCTGAGTCAAGAACCTGAAGCCCTTCGTGTGTTCACAGATTCGAGCTTCGCTCCGAGTTCAGGAAGATCACATGGTGCAGCAGCGGTGTTTGTGAACGACAACCCGGTATCTTGGAGATCATCAAGGCAACAACTCGTCACCTTAAGCACGGCCGAAAGCGAACTACTGGAGGCCGTAGAGGGTGCGGTGTTAGCAAATGCAACATGTGCCTTGCTTGAAGAGCTACGTGGCGATCAATGGATAATCTACCTCCACATCGACAACCAATCCGCCCTCATGCTGCTACAAGGCTCGACTGGTAGTTGGAGGACCAGACATTTACGCCTCAGGGCAAACTATGTCAAAGAAAGACTCCAACGGGAAAGCCTACGAGTAGTCTTTGAACCAGGACTAACTCAAAGAGCTGATCTGGGAACGAAGCCTTTCACAAAGGAACGGATGCTGCAACTTATAAGGTTGTGGAAAATGGTTGATCGTCGAGAAGATTCAGTTGCCGTACGTGCAGCGACTACGAAAGAACAAAGTTCTTGGTTGGCCAAGTTGGTTATGTTCTGCCAGATATGTGGATCGGCAGCCCAGAAGGCTGACATTCAAGCTGAAGTTCCGTGGGATCTGTACATTGTGGTTCTCCTGCTGGCCGTGGCGGTGATCGGATTGTGGGAAGCCAGTAAGGCGTGTTGGCGAGGAAAGCAAATACGGCTACAGGCTTTGAGGGCAAGATCGAGTTATGGTCGGTTGACAAGGACTGAGCTGAAAGAACTTCAGCGTCTTCTGGCTTTGGAACCTGGAAGCTTAACAGATCAGCAAGGAAACAGGCTCCTTTACCTCAAGGATCTCTTTGAGCAAACTATGCCAGCTAATACCTCGCCTATACCAACAACAAGACCGGAAGAGCCGCTTGGATCCACAGCATCATCTTCAACGACTTCACCACCAAGGCCAATGATGAAAGACCAGGCAACCCAGAAGGATTATGCTCCACCTTTTGAGCGAGTTCATCCAGAACCGATACCACAAGTAAGAGTTGAGACCTTCGCTGGCCTTTACCTTCACGTTCCAGGAACAGATACCCTGCATGTACATGAAAACTGCTGGGGACTTCGAAACACTCGCCGAGCAGTCCCATATCGTCTATGCAGATGTTGTGTGGAGAATGGGGGACGAAGCTTGTACGATAGATGAAGTAAGATCGACAGGAACCTATGGAAGGATGATGTCAGCCTGAAGGCAACATCAAGGAGGAGTGATGAAACACGATTCCCTCCGATGTTACTTATAAGTTTCGCGGTAAGAGGAAGACAACAGCTGTCGGCATGCCTTGCACAGTGTATAGCTAAAGCCACAGCTAAAGCCGTCATCAGATCCTCGCATTTGCCGTAAAAAGAAGTACTACCCGCGTGTGCCTCTTGCATGGTTTTCTGGGCGGTATAAGACCTTGATACTGTGTTAAGCTGCGCTTCAATTCGTCAACGTGGAACTCGAAGTTCTATAATGAGACATGTGTTACGAGACCATGCAGTCGACTTGAAGCCCTGTCAATTCCAGGGCTTAGGGTTTAAGTGTATATGTTTGAGACAACAAGCGTTTGTCGCTGTAAACGCCCATAATTTGGGAAACCAGCGATAGAACTTGGCCTCGTCCTAACGTCTGTCCGCAAGCTCTAGCTTATGGTACGTTCAACCTTCCTTTCTCCCGAATCTCATGCTTCAGTTCCAGTCGCCACCAACACACAGAAAACAAGCATTTATGTTCAATGCAATTGGCGTTTGAGCGCTTATGGGAAAGGACTTTTGCAGAGACTATTGGTGGGCCTAGGCAAGCAACAGAACAGGGTGGCCTCTTTCTCTGTGCTGCTGGCCTCTATCTGGGTGGCCTGTGCCCGCTAAACGCACCCACACAAACACATGTCTGTAAACCTCTCAGCTGCATGGGCTTTTCCAAGCTTCTCTACGTTTGCCACTATCTCAGCGCCACTCTGCCTCCAGCTCATCCTTTCCCGCGCTGTGCCACTCTGCAGACTCTGCAGCTGCACATTTGTCAGGTGTCTCGCAGTCCTGGCGCATTGGCATGTTTCAAACTTTAGCGAGCATCTGCAAACTGCAGCAAGCCGATGATGCGGTTCCTGTGCTCTTCGACGCGGCGGCGGTGTGCATATGAGGTCCTGGGTGACGGAAAGGCCGCATAAAGCAGTTGCGCTGAATGCGCTGACTGCTGCTGAAGGAAATGATAATACATGACTTGTTGCCATACCTACGCTGTACTTGGGTCTGTCAAATCCAATCTAGAGTTTGGCGCGATCTCCCGACAATGTCTCGCTAAGTATATCGCAGTCCTCGTCCTCGGTGCGAAGGCTTGAATCCACCTTACAGCGCAGGCTCTCACAGCTGGTTTCACTTCCTGTGCCTGCAAAAACCTTGGGACAGGTGCTTCTGCGGTCCATGGCCAGGTGTTTTGAAGTCAGGCAGCATCAAACCGCTCAACAAAACCTTCCCGCATCCTTCATATTCCCCCAAGATCCAAAGTGTGGCACCAGAAAGACCGTGTGAAGAGAAGCCGGCGGGGAAGGCATGGATATGCGTTCCGGTGGATTTGTACTCAGGCCTCAGGGCAGCCTGTTACAAGCTCAACCCTCAGCCCCAGACCCCCAAGCCCGATCCCATACGTTTCCATGGCTGAGCCCGATGCAAGCCTTCGCCACCAAACAGGTCTCTTTAGATTCGATTTAAGGGTTCTGCTATGCAGAAGTCACAGATTCAACCTTGCACAATGGAGAAGGAGCTTGAGAAGACGATAGAGCAGCAAACGCAGGAAAGCAGTGCCTAAACAGTCCAAGCTGAAGTGCTCAAGCTCACGTCCTAAAGCGTGAGCAGAGCCGGCGTGACCTTGAACGCACACGAAACCAGTGGGAAGGGTGTCGGCCTCTGTGTTGGCATCGAGCTCCGCTGGGAGCATTTGCCGGTTGGGGAGCGACTCGGCCTCTGCCAAAGTTTATCAAGTGAGTTAGAACATAGCGTCGCCCCTAGTTGACCCACCCTTCCAGTATTCTCTTTGCAACCCCTCTGAAGGAGTTTAGACTCTAGCTCAAAGGGCAACAAACGATACTTGCGAGCAGCTGGGGAGGCGACGGCAAGCGCTGAAGGGACCCACCCCACCCCCACCCACACCGCCTACCCGTCGCTAGGTACGCAAGCAGGCGTTGGTTTTCATAAGCGAAGAACCGAAGCGAAATTCCAAAGCCAAAAAGTCGAGAAGTTTGTGACTTTTCGACTGTTCGTACACTTTTTGGACGTTTTGTGCTTTTCGGCTTTTCGACTGTTCGAATTTTATTGCACTTTTCGGACTTTTCGGGCGTCTCTTCTTTTCGACCTTTTGGTGTTTCTTGCACTTTTCGGACATTTCGGGCTTGTCGACGTTTCGGGTTTTCTTGCACTTTTTGGACGTTTCGTGTTGTTCGACTTTTGGATTCCGCTGTTCGTTCAGGGTTTGGGGGGGGGCTTAAGGTTTTTAGTTGTTTGAGACCTTCTGCGGTTCGTTTTGCAGATCCTGAAGGGTCCCTCTCATGGCTCTAAGACGACATAGCATTTGGCGATTTATAGGGCATTATAGACGTTAGCTAGGCTTTGAAAAGAGCTTGTGGGGTGGGGTCTCGCATCTTTAACTAAGCACTGAAAAACACTGGTTTGTCCTGTTTTTCTAGAGCTGTACGGTTTCCGATGAGTTTTTGTGGCTCTTCAGACGGCTTCAACGATGGGGGCGGAGCGCTTCGTAATGGTTCCTCAAAGCTTGTCGCACCATCGTGCACATCGCTAAGGCCCCTAAATCAGTGGTTTCCGCAAGGATTCCAACATTTAGTTAACTTGAGTTTCTGTCGGTTCTACTCGGGTTTGACCCTGGTTGTAAATACTTCTACCGGCATTGATGATGTCTTTCGGGTTGTGATTACGATTTTAGGTGGGTTAGCTGATCTGGGGTCTTTCACCGCCCGAAACAGCAAAACAGCTCAGGGATTCATAGGAACTGTTTTCCAAGTTCTGTGTTTGTCTCTTCATGTTTCAGAAAACCCTGCTGCACGAAACTTGCATCCCCAAAAGTGGAGCACCTCCGAAGCTTCAGCCTGATGCGCCACCAGACATTGTTGCAGTGGTGTACATGTGTATGTAAATATGTGTAAGTATATCTCTATACACATATATATATATATGTTTTTATATACACATACCTTTACCTATGCATGTATCTATATATATATATATGTATACATATATATATATGTATGCATTCAAACATATGTATATACGTATGCATGGACGTGTAACAATACTTCTGCTTCCGTTTACACACATAGCCTTTGCAGATGTTTACGTGATTTTCCTTCGACCTCCCGCATCGAGTTCCCTGTACCATGGGCACCTCGCACGCCTAGTCAGACCCTACATCATCCGACATCCTTTCCGGTGCTTGGATTTGACGAGGCCCCAAGGCCACAACACTTCCCCCAGTACCCGAAATCCTCTAACACTATCCTGGATCTGCCTTTGCTCTCGGACAACAACCTTTCGCGCAAAATCTTCATTTAACGAGTTTTCGCTTTTCGGCTTTTTGCGTGCAGTTTGGCATTCCCCACTTATCCGCGCCCACAGCCGTTCCCAAACACAGCCTACCCAAAGACAAATTGAAAAGCAACGAAAATCCTGAGTCAAGAACCCTCGCAGGCGCGGAGCGAAGCCCTAAGCCCTCGTCTAATAGTGCTGGAAACAGGTAAAAAGATGACAGAGTTCTTTTTTATCGGCATGTCAAACAACTGAGAAAAGCAGATTCGATTTGGTTGCGTTACACATATTTGGCTTTTCAATTGTTTTTTGCCTTTCGGGATATTCTTTCTCCCTGCCCATCTTCGGACACAGGCGATTCCCGCAGAGCGCGCCCGTGTAGCTCCTCGCTCCTTCAAGTAGCAGTTCACCTAGCAAATCAAGCGCCTACCGGTGGTTAGTAGGGAATATGGGAATGCATTATAGAGGGATTATACAGGGATTCTATCTCCAAGTTCCCTACTAACTAACCACCAGTAAGCCAGCAAGCGAATATTCATGTTGGACTTCAACATCCTCATGAAAGATTCATGTGCGTACATGCTACATGCATATCATCATCCAGCTGGTTCGCTCTTCTTCTGCTTGCTCCTGCTGGGGTTTCCGCAAGATGGCAAGAAGTGTCTTAGGTCTGAAATTGCCTTCTCCAAATGCTTCCTTGAAGGGATGGAGCTCACTCGTAACTGGCTAATTATTCAGTTGAAGCGCATCTCCACGAGGACAACAAATCTCCAAAAGGATCCATGAGTGAGTTGACAAATTCCGGACCGTGTGAAGGAGGACAACTTTGACTAAAAAATGTCTGTGAGTTTGAATGTTGAGTGTCAGAACGCCGAAACAAGAAACTGGTTTGCGCTATGTCTCCATAATGCCAACTTAAAATAAGCTTCTCAACAGCTGGCCTGGAAGCCGCTCAGGAGCACCGCCAATCGCCGAGACTCGATCAGAACTTCAGCGATCTCTGTGCGCATCGACATCAGCTCCTCAGACATTAACTGTAATGGGGATATATAGTGACAAATTTTCCAAGCATGAAAAGAGCTTCGGCAATCACTGCTTCCGGTGTGTACAAAGGGCAGGGTGCATGTCTTTCACCCCGCCTTGGATCATGATCCCTCCTATCTTAAGGATCTTGATCCACTCAAAAAATCTCCTCCAAAATTCTACAGGCTAGCCACTATCCCTGCCCTAGGCACGTAAAACAAGGACTGTAAGTTCTCACTTCATTGGAGTGCCGAATATTACCACAAGTGGGCAGGTGATAGCGCTCGCCTCGATGCGTAGCCACACTAATCCGCTCTGGCACCCTTCTGGACCTTAGGCGCGTGACTTCCCGGGTCAGAGCTTCGTTCTCTACCCTAAGCCGCCTCAGAGCTTGCTCCATCTCTTCATTCTCGCGGCACTTGTTGTAAAGCTCGCTGCGGAGCTCCGTGCAGCGGTTCACGTACTCCTCCTGGAAAAGCTGTTCACTTTTGCTCATCCCGAGGTTGCTCTGGGTGGCTTTGGAGGGCATGTTCACCTCCTCTGTCTGTGCTCCTTTCTCACATGCTGCCTTCGCGCCTGGGCTGGCCCACGAAACCAGCCACCAAAGTCCCTTGAACATCGTCCAAGGGATTCCCAGGAAAACCAGAGCAAACAGCATCCCCACTCCCAGGGCTGCTGTCATCCTCGTCAAGGCCTCGTTGTCAGCCAAGGCGAGGGATGTGAGGCCCAAGCTCTCTGCACCACAAACCTGGCAAAGCAAAACCATCAAAGGAAGCATTGTCTTCATACTCCTGGTGGTTCCTCCAGCTTCCAGCCGCAAGCTTTTCACAACCTTGCTTAAGGCACGCTTCTCCGTGGCAGCGCGGTGGTCTTCTGCTCCATACTCCTCATAGTTCTCTGTCCGGGCCCCAAGAACATACAAGAGCTCTCGCATGCGGGGTCCAGCCAAGGGTTTCGTTCCCAAGTCGGCCGGATTGTCCTGGCCGCTGATCGTTCCAACCTTGAGCCGCCCCGCCTTCACAGCGGCTTGGGTCCAAAGCAGGCCGCAGTCAATGTGCCGGAGACGGCCACAGCCCAGCCGCTGCGTTATGCCTCTGCATGCTGCGCTGTCTGTGCGGCAGTGCAGCTCCACTCCAATGCTGCTTGCAGGGCCCAGCAGAAACTTGAGAACCTCCACGACATAAAGCCCCTCAGCCGCACCACCAACCAAAGCTATGAACTCGGACTCCCCCGAAGAAAGGGCCACCGACTTTTGGCTCCGGACCATTGAGCCAATCAAGCTGCCGCCGGCATAGAGCTGAATCGAGGTTCGGCTCTTCCTTGTTCTCCTGCAGCCGGCCCAATCAGCGTCGGTGATGGACTCCACCACAATGGTGCCAGCACCGTGGAGCTGGCCCTTTCCAGCATACCCAAAACAGGCACGGTCGGCGATGGGCTTCATGAGCACGCCGAGGCTGGGCACCCGATAAAGGTACCCAATCACTTTTCGAAGCAATCTCCACGAGGTGTTGGTGGGGCTCGCCATCCGACTGCTGCTAAGAACACACACAGCAAACTGCAAGTCCGGCCGCGAGTGGCTGAGGTAGAGAAGCCGGCCGACGGCTTCACGATAGGCCTTCTGCTTCTCACCCTTGAGCTCCTCCGAGGTGTCGGGCTCGAGGAACTCCTTGTCCGCAGGCGCGTCCTTCTCCTTTGTGTCCTTGCCAAAGGTCTCGAACAAGGAGTCAGCGTACCGGTTGCTGCTGTACATGATGATGCCCTCCGGGACCCTCACGTACTTCCTCTTGAGGAACTCCAGCTCGTCGCCAATCTCCCGCATGGGATCGCTCACCTGCACGTTCACCACCTTCCTCATCTCAGTCACCAGCTTCTCGCGACTCTTCTTTGTTCCCGCTAGCAGCCCGTCGTCTGCGTGTAAAAGAAGAGCTGTTGGGTCCTGGGGGTCCTTGTGGCGGAACACTGTCGGCTCTTTGTCGAAATTGACAAGACCGTTGTCGTTGAGGATTTTCTTGGCGAAGCCGTACCACGCGCTAGCCCCCACCCTTTGTCCGGGAAGCAGGCGCTCCAAAACGTAGGTGACGACACCGGTGGCGCCGGAGTTCAAGAGGGCCGCCTCCACTTCGATCACCACCGGCTCCGGTTGTGGAACATTAAGGTAAGCGTCCTTCACGTCGATCGTTACCAGTTCCAGCCCAAAGGTTAGCGCCAACGTCATAAAAGAGTGGACGGCTGCCAAATTCGAGGCAGGCGCGAAGAGGTCTTGCGTCCAAGGTGTCCACGCTTTGAACTCTCGGGCCACCAGGCGGCTGCGTCGTGTCCACCCCGGCCGCTTCCTCCAATCACGCACAATCTTCGTGGTCAGCTTCCCATAGCTGCGGGTGTCCTCGCCTGGAAGGGGTGGCCTCATCACCCCCATCGCCACCAATCTCTCGATCTCGGTCTTGTCGCTTGCTGCGTTGACCAAGTCCAGCTCGTCCTCGCTGAGCTCTGGCGCGTGCTCTCCGTGCTCGTCCCAGGAAGGGCCTTCACCATCATCAAGCAAACCGCCTTCTGCAAACGACTCTCCCACCTCCTCCATCCAACTCTCAAAGCTGCTTAGCTCCTCCCCTGGGATGTCCCCGTGCACCTCTCGAACGCCTGCATAGCCAGGTGGATAGAGACCTGACCCAGACGCTGCGTCACCACCTGCTGCATACCCCAGAGAAGGTCTTGCTGAGTCTGCTCCGGATTGTGGTAGAGAAGGTCTTGCTGAATCTGCTTCGGATTGTGGTCGAGAAGGTCTGGCCAAATCCCCTTCGGATTGTGGTGGAGAAGGTCTGTCTAGTAGAAGTCGTGCTCGTTTGGGTCCTGGCAAGGTGGGCTGCTCAAGCTCCCTCGGCGGGTTCGTGCTGTGCTCTGTGCGGTCCCTTTCCTGGCTTCCACCGTCAACGGCCATGGCTGTTGTGCTTTCACCTCCTGCGGGGGCCACGGGCGAAGGAGAACTCGTAGAGCTTGAGGTCGGGCTGTCTGACCCAGCTTCGTCGTTGTTGTTGTTTGGCTTTGGGGTGCTTGCTGCTATGGCTTCTGCTGCTGCCGTGCCCGCGGCCTTGGCAAGCTCCTCCAAGGTGGCGTTGTCCGGAAGCAAAGGAAGCCGGGCCGATGTGTAGAGGGGCCGCTTCCGCTTCTTTGTGCCACCGTAGTCCCAGGGTAGGCCGCGGTACGTCACGAGCGCCTTGGCGTCCCACTGTTGTTCTTCAGGAAGTCGGCGAACGCTTCGGGCTTCTCGTGCCCCGTCTGGTGTGAGCACTATGTTGGCCCCGTTCTTTTCATTGAGGCCTACGAAGAGACCCCTTTGCCATTGCAGGTCCCCCTTGTGCTTGCTAGGGGCGTGGTATATGCAAAGCTCTCCAAACGGCAAGAGGTTCGCCTTGAAGCGCCGGCCGAACATAGCCTCATACGCGGGAATGCCGCGGTGCCCGGTGAAGAAGCGGTTGTGCAGGTAGGCGGCGTGTCGAAGAAGCCACCCGAATATGTGGTGGTCCCCTTCTAGCACCACTTTCGCCCGGTCCTCGGCAAAGGTCTTGAGGGTCAGCGCTTTCCTCCTCAAAGTATCGATCGCTTTCTCCACCTGTCCATTCGAGCTGTGGCTGCCCTTCTGGGTGATCTTCACCTTCGTCTTCAGGCCGAGCTTCGTCCTGCACGCCACCACGCTGTTCAAGATTTGCTTCACTGAGGGCTCTGGGTCCCCCTGGAAGGCAACCTCCCCTGCGGCACTAACCTGGAGGCTCAGGCGCACCAGGTTCTCGGTGACGCGCTTCAGCGCAGACGCGCCCTTCTGCAGCACAGGAATTGCAGCCAGCCACCCTGTGGTGGATTCGGCAGCCACCAGGGTCAGGCCAAACTGGTCGCGGTAGTCCTCGGGGTTCGGCGCTTCCTCCTCCAAGGCCTTCTCGTCCATGCCGGCATCGGTTCCTTCCATCTGCTCTTGTACTTCGTGGCGTCGCTTGGTGAAGGTGTAGCAGTAGTCCACCTGGATCACCGGCACATTCTCTTCCTCCTCCTTGGCCTCAACCCCAGGCTCGGGCGCCCTTCGATGAGGGGACGCCTTGGACCTCCTCAAAAGACAAGCCTGGCACCAAGGAGCGAAGGGTTGGTGGGTCACGTTGTGGAGTTCTTGCTGGCGGGCGCTCGGTAGCACCGGTGTGGGGGGAACGTCCGGAGGACGGTCCCTTTCGAGGAACATCCGCTGTGCCACCTGTGTGGAGAGGTGACCCTCCAGCAGCTCCCGCTGGTTCCGAAGTCGCCTGAGTACTTTCAGCTTCGGCCCGGCCCGGCTCACCCCGAGCTTGTCGCAGAGGGCCCTGAGCTCCTTCAAGGGAGTCTCGTCGTCCAGCCGGACACCATCAAGGATCTCGCCGTCGGGGTCCTGGTCCTCGGGCTGCTTGCTCTCGCATGGACAACCAACCTCACAACAA